CAGGAATGTGCATCTTCAGTGGCTGTATCCAGTCCGTTGCTTTCCCCTCCACCATCTGGTTAAAAATAAGGGAGGGAGGGCAGGGAGAGGAGCAGAAATCAACACTTGCAAACCAGAAATATCTGTCAAGAGAACATTTTAAAAGCATTTGTCTTCTGCATTTTAAAGTTCTATTGACAGCTGAAGATCATTCTGTAATTTAGTTTCAATGGGCAATTTTCTGCCTAGGTCCACATACCTGATATTCAGAGTATACACCAAATGCTTATCAGATCCCAAACACACAACAACAATAATAAATGCCTGAATTTAGCAAGGCATAGCTCTGGGTACTGAGTTACCCATCGTGAGCTGTGCTTGAAGGTTAGAGACAGTAAATTCAGCCAATCCTTACTGAAAGGCCAGGTAATTTTCTTCCCACCCTGACTAATACAACACTGTTCTTTGGGAAGCAGCAGGGAGAGCTGCAGGCAGCAGACACAGGTTCTAATACAGACACTGAATTCAGCGTGCTACTGTCATGGAAAATTGACTCAATTGCCAACATTAACACATGCAAAATGGATTCAGTCTGACTCCATTCAACAAACTTCACCCACCAACAAGGAGCAGAGCACTCTTTCAAGTAAACCTAAGGCCTCTGTGCCACTTTAAGCCTGTGAATAGAGAAGTTGGCTGATTGCAAGGTTTTGGTTTTTAATACTGCGTTTTTTATTTCACAACCATAAGATAGCTACTCAAGCTTTTCAACTGAAGACTGACCAGTTGTAGCAGTACCCTCATTAACGTGGCTCAAGAACAGATCAGCACTGCATTTAAACACAAATGTATGGAACCATCGCACAGAAAAATCTGATAACTCTACAGACTCTGTCGGCAGGAACCATTTGCTTTGCTGTTTGTGGCTGCTTATGGTTGCATTCCATTTCTGGCAAATGCAGCCAGCAGTGAAGACAGCCACACGTCACCAACTGCCCCAGTGTCGTTTTACTCCAAATACCAGTTCAGTTTTGTAATCTCACAGAAGCCTGGTTTTGAAATAAAGAACCACTCAATTTATTCTGCATTAGAAAAGCATATAATGATCATTAATTTCTGGTCAGTAGGAAGGGAAGTAATTTTATGCTGTTTGTTCAGTAGTCCAGTGCTTAATGAGCATACCTTTGTTACTCACAAAGTCTTCATGTAAAATAGGAAGGTCAAGTCTAATCCGCTTCAGGCAGGTCTGCAAATGGGAGATAAAATACTGGTATTTCATCTGTAACAAAATCTTTTGTGCAACACTTACATGTTTTTAATATCACTCCCAATTTCTCTTTACACTTTATTACTCTAAAAAAAAAAATAGTCCTTTCATGTCTATTTGGCCCACTTTTAATGCTGTGGATTGTTTTCGTAGTCCTTCATCTATCACCTATCTGATGAAGCAGCATTCTTCATCAGCCTCTTTTGCAGGGTCAAGCATTAAAAAAAACCAAGCAAAATCCCCAAAACCAACCAGCTCTTTGGTCTTAAGAAAATTACTTTGGTTAAAGATGTCCTGAAAAAAGTCAAAGACAATCCTCTGAAGTACTAAATCAAATAAATAAGGGTTATATCTAAATGCAAATACTTCAAATACTGGAGTTTTTTAAAGGGAAATTAATTTAAATAACATTATGCTCCTAAGCAGTAGGTACAACTTTAGTCCTCTCTTGCTGCGTAATTGCTCTCCTAAACCTACCTCTTCCACTATTCAGCACTGCGTGAAGAGAAGCTGACAGAAGCAATAACGTACCTGAACTTCCTTCTTGCTTCCCAAATACTCTACTCTCTCAATAAAATCCTCAAATTGCAATTTAGGATATAATCTATGAGCCCAATGTTCCATATGGCGTATGAGTGTCCTCAGGTCCTCTGCCTAGAGCATAAAACAAGACATCCAGCTAGTGATGGCTGACCAAGCCAGTAGACTGTAGAAGGAAAGAGGACAGTAACATTTCTAAAAACATTAAACATATGCAGCTTTAAATTCTCTTGAAAATTTAAGTAATATGAATGCGAGAAACAAAACAAAAGCTCACCACGTCTTACCTCGTGCCCCTTACCCTTGAACTTCACATTGTCAAACAAGTGTCTTAGGGCTGGAAGTCCTCTTTCTGAAATTAACCTGTTAGTAGGAAATGCGTGAAGTTATGTTATGTTTATTCTTTATTAGAAAAAGTAAGTAACAAAAAACCCCAAAACCTCACATAAACAATCTCACATTCTTTTAAACAGCCTAAAGCTACAGAACTCCATTTGAGAGACGTACAAAATTAAATGTTAAGAAAATGCACTAAATAGGATAAAGACTCTGTTAGATGCATGACCAGAGCATCCACCTGTGGCATCACAAACTCCACCAGTACATCTAAAACAGAAGAAACTAAAAGCTTAGATTCTTCCCATTGCTTACAAAGAACTTAACACCAGTTTTTGTGATAACAGCAAAGAAAATATTAAAGTCGTTTATACAGTTTATCCAGCTTGTACATAAGTCAAGTGTAAGTGCACTTTAAGTAGTACCCTACAGTCACCATTATATTGAGGTTTTATTTTGAAGCACCCTTTAATTAAAGAAAGAAAACTACAATGCTATGTCTGAAGCAAATCAAAGAAGATCCAGCTGGAAGAGTCCTATGTATGACTAATAATTACCTCTTAAATCATTAGTCACGTACTAAGTCCCAAAGTGACTTCAAGAAAGTTACACTACAATAGCATTACACAGGAACACAAGGAACAAACAGGCTGAGATCCAGCATGCAAGAACCACTTTCATCTCCAAAACTCTTGATCTTTGACTTGGCTGTGACCCAGCAGGGATCACAGCAACTTTCATCATTCCCCACAGCCATACACCAAATTCATCCCAAACAGAAATATTCTGTAAAAACATTACCTCTGGGCATCTAGTTTAGGCCTTGGTCTTTTAACAGCTTTCCGTGGAGCTGCAGCAGAATCCTTTGCTTGTGACTGCTGGTTTCCATCTGGCTCTAATAAAGAAAACAATGCACTTTAAGTGCACAATCCAAATGACATCAACTAGAATCATATCATGTAAACTTTAAGTTTCTACCCTATCAAAAAGGCAAAATCACAAGTATTCCACTGCAAGTAGAGTACTCCAAAGAAACATCTGCATATTTCACCTTACTTCTCCCACAAGACAGACTACAAATAAATCTGTCTCTTCAAAATATGCTGGAGAATCAGCTTTGCTAGCAAAGTAGGAAATTTCACTTTCAAGGAACCTAATTTTGGAACTTTTATATTGTATTTCTGATGAGAAATGCATTGAGAGCAGATGCTGCTTCTAGAAAGAAATTCAAGTTATCAATAAACCTAATGTGACAGGTGTCCCCCAAAATTTCCACTGGTAGACCTGAAAGACAGACCTAAAACACCAGCATCACCTTCAAAAAATCAAGAGGTGATATGTGCTACCTTTTAAGAACCGTCTGTATGCTTTTTGATCAGGGCCAGCACACATTATTTGACTGCAACAGACATGGCATCACTGCCCATCTCATCCCAGAGCTGCAGTTAGTTATCATATTGATTTCTTGGTTTACTTCTTGTTACTTTGAACATCAGGAATTCAGAAGTTGTCCTTTTTATGTATTAGGAATTAAATCTATCCAAAATGCTATTTTCTAGTGAACAGACAGAGCAGGGATCAAGGAAAACATATGTTTAACACTATAGGCAAATGTGAGGAGTAAACAATAGTTAAAATCTTTATGTTTTCTATTAGCTTGTTCAGTACATAGTAAGATATTTTCAGATACATAAAGTTTTACTGTCCTGAAGTGTCTTGGATTTTTCCTAGATCTTTACAAAACCTACCAGCATCAACCTGGAATACCAAATTCAACACTTGTTACCTGTTCTGAAATCCAAGTTATAAGGGTAACTATAGATCACTGTTGTATTATTACCTTTACCAATATTTTGTCAGAAGAGCTTGAGTTTTTACACAGATTCATTTGTGAGCATATTTTCATAGAATGCAAAAAAAATAAACTTTTCCGAGGGGCACAGAATCAATAATTAAATTTAGTAATTGCTTTCTTATCTACACAAGACTGGTTTTATGCAGTAAACTCAGGGTACTGAAGTACACCACCAGTAGTGTTGATTTTACAGCATTTCATTGTCTATATTGCAAAGTGGGATCTTTAGGGGTCACAGGTGCTCACCTCCATTAGCTTGAGCCCATTCAACATCATCTCTTCCTGGAGAGGCAGGAGGTGGAAGAGGTGGGAACCTTTCATCTTCTGTGTTCTCGTAATCGGGAAGATCAAACAAGTTGTTCTCTAAAGGATCGATCATTGCCACGGATAAACTTTTCTTCCCTCCTGCAGAAAACACCAGAAACATTTTAAAGAGAAGCAGCTAAACACCAGTAATGTACAATATGTCTACAGCTTTTACCAAGAGAGATTTGCCAATCTGAAAAAAAAAGGTATCAGAAAAATTAAGTAATAGACAGATGACACAATCCAGCCTCACTAGGCCAAAAAAACCAAGGGTTTGTCATGTGTCAACTCATCCAAGTTACTTGGGAGTGGCTGGTACGGATCACAGGCATAAAACAAAAGAAATGGATTTCTAACCAAAGCACTTATCAAGACAGCTGTTTGCTACTTACATCCTTGATTATCAAAGCCTGCAGGGGGTGGGGTGATAGATCCCCTGATTTACAGTTCACCCACTCAGAAACGCAGTCTGGAGGAGGATTCCCCTTTTCTGGCTCCTTAAGCAAAGCTAATTCTGGAGACTTTAGCACATCACCACAACCGGGTTTAAGATGACCCCGTCTCACCGCAGCCACGTTCCCAAGGCTTCGGGAACAGCTCTTTGTTTAAGGGGAAGTTGTTTCTAGGGCAGTTTTGGTAAGGAGAGGGCACCCCAAGCTACTCCCCCTACACTGACCTTAAGAAGTGAGCTCCCTACCTCAGCGAAACTCTCACGGCGCAGGAAGCTGAGGGAGTCAAGAGGAGGCAGGAGAAGGAGCTCGCCAGGGTCTCCAGGACCAGACCTCCGCTCTGCCGGGCGTCACGGAGGCCTCGCTCCCCTCACACCGCCCGAGCAGCCCTGAGGCGGGCAGGCACTGAGGGGGGTAGGGGCTCTCCCACCGGCGGGCAGCGGGGCGGCGAGGGCTTCTCGCCTGCCTTCTACGGGGAAGACCGAATCCAACCGCCTCCCACACACA